CCCACGCTCCACGTGGTAAAAAGTCAGATAAATCTCCGCCTGTGAAAATTGTGAAATCAATGTCACAGAGTGGCATAAGTCCACATGGATTTTTAACGGGTTGTTTCGGACTGAGTTTCAAAGTCAAATTGAATTTCAAGTTAATGATGAAATCAAGAGGCAGAGAGCACCACCTTTCATCCACTTGACATTCTTCAGTCTGCTTACAGGTGTCCTGAAAATGAAATCCAAATAATATAGGAACAAAATGGTTATGTTTTTGTTCAGTATGCCTAAATGGTCCGAATGCCAAAACAGTTTTCAGTCAAATGTCACGGTTGCACTAGATAGTTCAATGCGTATGTGCAAAAGCATTGCAAGCGCAATGTATTTTCACCAGTAGAACTGGAAATAATAAGTTATAATAAGAAATGAATATATATTTAAATAATATGACAAGTTTCTCTGGACGTGATCTTGCACCACTCTATTATAACAAAGATCATATTTTTAATATTTATTTTACATAACTGAATGGCAAATTCTTCAGAAGATTCCTTGAAAGGATGGATTATGATCAGCATCCCAAGTTCTTGACCATAGATTTATGTGGCACCATAGCGCAACAAAACGCCCAAGAGGTTTTAGCTTAGTAATTGTGCGTGCTTACGTGTCCCCAACTTCCTTGGCATCGTGCTTCTCTTTCATAATCTATCATAGCGGAAAGGCCCTGAGGTTCGAATGCCTTGCTCGCTATTTCACCTGCCGTTCAAAAGTCATTCTCAGTAATTACATACCAAAGACACAGATATAAGATTGTACAGAAAAATAAAATGAAAAATAAAAACAATCAAATTCATTTTGGCGCGTATATCCTATGTAGATTACCTTAATTTATATTTAAATGGCATGCATGAAAAGAAATTGTATTTTAACGTTAAAGGGATAATAACTCTTCGTATGAGATCTTTATTTCACAATAAAAGCATTGCGAATAACTCATACAAATATAATATATTCTGTTTTACCACAACAACGGCAGTTATAGCTATTATTCTTATATTTGAGCTTGTCGTCAGACCACGTGACCGCCATTGATGGCTATACTCTGTTATAATCTCTTAAGAGATTTTAACAAAAAACAATACTTTATAGAAAAAAACCAGGGACTAACTTTGAATGTAAAAATGGATTCATTAACCATTGGTAAGTATGGGAAAATTGTTGTTTACTCCAGGAAAATTCATTTTTTGGCCAAAACGAAGAGTTATTATCCCTTTAATTAAAATATATTATAGTATTTGATATATCAAATCTGTCTAATCTATTGTCATTTTATCTGCATTTTTTAAAGGAATTATGAAATCGGGAAGTGCATACCATTCAAGATATTTTTACTATAATTATCACTGTTCTCCATTTTCAAATGACTTCAACATATAACTTTAACTTATAACTCAATGATCAAATGAAGATTTTGCAAGTGAGAAGACTAACCATTTTCATTACAGCGCTGGATGTTTGGGATAGAATTTGGAGACACATGGCAAAGCCAACAGAATAGATTCCGACCATAAGAGTGGCCATGAGGCCCTGCAAAATACGTCACTGACACGGGCCCAGAATTACAAAGACGTACAGATTCGGCGTCATATGTGAATTGGCATCCTCCATCGTTGGTTCCGCTCAAGGGTTCGTGTCCCCCATCAGGACCTATGCAAGGGCGTCCTGGGTGTTGGTCTGGAGCGCCAAAAAACAACATGCAATCTGGTGTCAGATGGATCTTCTCCAAAACTCCGGCAACGGTGGTAGCATCTTTGAAAACCTCGATTTGTGACTTGTGACACACAATTCTAGGCTTCCATGCTTTGTGAGCTGTCACGTTGTGACAGGTGGCGCAAAAAGAGTTTTTAAATGTGACGTTTGACTCTGCTGACGAGACGGGCAACATTACAGTTATATCATTGGACCAGTCTTTTAACTGGCATTTTACTCGAACTTCTTCATCTTGCCAGTCGCTTGGACAAGAAGACACCACCCAATAGAATTTACTGTAAACGTCCTCAATTTCTCTAGACCCCTGTAACCAACATTCTATATCATTTCTACGTATATCAATACCGGTGATTTTGGTATCGTTGCAAAAGCGGTCATATGGCCAACAGCAATCACCATACACGTCGCACAAGTCGTCGCAGTAGCAGGTTACGAGGACGACATCATTAGTTAACCCATCACTACGACCAGCACAGAACGGGGTGTTTACTGTTACGTTAAGCAGCATTAGTTCCCTCTGAGAATACAACATGGAGGGAGTTGGGGCAAATTGTTCCAAATTCGGTGAAATGTTGGATGAATGTCCTTGAGATACATGACCGGCGCCGGCCTGGCGTGCACTTGTTATGCTTATATTTGAGTCGAGGTTCGGAACCTCTGGAGTGAGAGCTGGGTAGCTTACATTCACCATTTTCTCTCTTGATTTTCCGTCAATTGCGAGCTTGCTAGTGGACGCGGCAGTGGGGACAAAAGTTTTACTTGCGGTTGCTGTGTTCGCATTGGTGGCCACAGTTAAAGCACTTTCGTTAACAATAGATGAGTCATTAAGCATAGGAGAGCCACTTCTGTCGATAACGAGTGAGCCACTTCCATTGACCATAGGGGAATCACTTCCGGTGACCATAGGGGAGTCACTGTTTGTGACCATGGGGGAGCCACTTCCGGTGACCATAGGGGAGTCACTCTCGGTGATCCTGGGAACTCTGGTGCTTTTATGCCTAGGCCGTGTCGTTGTCAACCGCTGTTCTCGACTGCTGACAGACCATGGGACCGTTGGAGTTGAAGACGTGACCATTGCAGAGTTATGCAGCGCCCTCGGAATCCCTGACTTTGACACTACGACTGGAATTTCTTTTTCTGAAGCAATCAAGGAGTACATTACCATCACCAAAAGCATTAAGACCTTCATTTTCGATTTGTCTCTACACTCTTTATGGTCCACTGTGGTATTTTGCGGGGTTAATATACTTCCTGACTCGTTCGTACTTTTGGAGTGGTTACGTCACTGTAAATAAAGATACTTTTTTCTAGCTAATCAAAATGTAACACCGCACCGTAAACAATTGCAAGGTATATTTTGCGTGATGTATGTTTTATTTTTTCAAAAAATATGTATATCAAGATCGTCTGTAATAGGAATCTGGTATTTTACAGAGAAATGCAGACATTTAGAAATATGTGAAAACAAAGGAATATCATGTTTAAAATAACGTTTTTAGACTATGCGTGACACATGATAAAGTTCATAATGTCCGTGTAATGAAACGCTTTTTATTTTTGATAAAATGGATCCTTTGAGCGTTTGCCACGGCGTTCACCTCTTTCCGAAGAACAATTGTTCCAGAAGTTAATCGGAACCGCAGTCCTTTGTATTAACCGTGTACATCTCATGTGACATGATTGCTTTTTGTCACAAATGGGTGACGAACCACTGAGCCCTATTTCTGTTTTTTTTTTTCAAGTTAATTCTTTTTTTCTTGGCGTGGAAACACTCAACCGCTTTACGCTCCCAACCCATGTAGTGTGCATATCTGAGCCGACACGACCAGCTTGTTCATGTTCAAATTTCCTCTTTTTTTCGACTTTTTATACATACTCTTACATGTATGACACTCCGAAGTCGAATGCCGTTTTCTTCCATGATACTGTCCCTTCAGAGGGAAATTTCGGTAAAAATATGAAAAGCATCAATTGTGCAACATTGACCATTTCGAATCATTTCTTTTTCATGTCCTTAATTGTATTTTGTCATATTTTTTCTCACCATCAACCAACCAGAGAGAAGACGCTGCTGCACATGCGCAGAAGTTTATCAACAGTTCTCTTCCTCTAATATTTTTTGTGTCAAAAATATTCAGTATACTAGTAACATTTTCTGATTGTCCACATTAACATAAAAGCATAATTGCTGTTAAGAATAATGTTATGTTGTCCGATGTTATCGTCATTTTCTGCTTCATGTCCGTTAATTTGACGGCTTGTTTTAAAATTTCAAATTTACTGTAACGTTTCCAGCACGGACGTACGAAAACATGTAGTCTTTTAGACCTTGGCCAACCCAATGCGTCCCAGTTTTGTTTTTTGTTCAACGCCATACGAGGCTATTTAACTATCAGATTTCCAGGTCATTTGGTTGCAGACAACTCCCCTAACTGTCTTGACGCCTGCGAAGGTGCGTTAATGATTAAATTAATAGTACCGTTACACGATACGTAAACATGTTCGATAATAACGAGACTGTTCATGTTTTGTGGGTATTGGGGTGCTTGTTTATAAATGCGTTCTTGCATGCGTGTGTGTATGCGTTTTGGGTAGGGAAAGAGATGTAATGGTTGCCAGGGTAACTGATTGGCAATCTTGAAAGGAGAACCACTTTTCATTTTGGTCAAAAATAATTTTCTTGGGTGAACGACAATTTTCACTTACTTACCAATGGTTCTTGAATTAATTTCTACATTCAAAGTTACTTTCTGTTTATTATTTTTTTCTTCGCCTGTCACGATCTTATCGCCCTAGTACAAACATAAAAATATATCACTCCCCAAGTTTGCATGTGCTTTAAATTCTTTGGTCCTATTTCATGACCAGTGATGAGTAGACGAGTTTCTATCATAATATTTAGGGAACAGGGATGAAGTAATAAATTTTTATTTTGTTCGTTATACGGGCTTAGTAGTGGATTCGCCTGCAATATCCACAGGTTGGTCAGCAATGGACAAAGTTAGAACTGATTAGGTTTTTGCTATGATCCAATTTGTCAATTAATTAATCAATTAATTAATCATGATAAATTGAGCTGTCTTGGCGGAGGTCTGGGCTCTCTGGTTGCTTTTCTAGTTTTCCCCTTACTTTCAAATACGATACAGACTCCATCGTCGCAAACAGACAGTGCCCCCTCTGGGTCAGCAGATACTCCCCCAAACTGTACAATGTACAAGTCCATAAGAATAGACGAGAGAGATAAGGACTATTTAAACAGTTAGACGGTTGCAAACAGGCCGTATGGATAGCCCAGCGCTTGAAGTCGTGTCCTTGACTGGCTGGCGTGAAGTATCAGTTTCCTAGAGCACTCGTAACTTTCAGAAATCGCAGCGTGCTCGTAACGGTTTTCTGCCTCGAGTTATGCCCCGGGATGCGGACTTAAACAGCGGATGTTAACTTACAGCAGGACCGTTTTGTTGTCGTGATTGTTGATTTAACAGTCAAGGAGCAATTTAGTGGCAATTTAACAGAGACTCATATTTGATTATCGGCATTGGTAATTACATTGTTAACATAGAAAGACTAGTCCAGGATATACGGTTTATATTGAGGGGTACGATTTCCGATGGCGGCGGCGACTGGAGGCTTACAGCACTGGGGGGACTACCTGGCCATTACGCTCTACTTTGTGGTGGTGCTATCGGTCGGAATATGGGTGAGTGCATATCAAACCCCTTTTTGATTTTAAAGATAACCGTAAGGGGATCATTTTCAAACACACATTCAAATATTTGAAAGAGTAGAGAAACTCTTCGTTATTAGGTTGATAACTTTTTGGGGGGATTCAATTCAAACATTTCCTAAGCTTTGAATGTGGAGTTAAAAGAAATTATATCAAATGAGCCAGGCAGGTGCACTGACATGGATTGGTTGAATAAGTCCATCTCGGTCCGAAGCCTGGATATCAAGTTTGAGTAGAATAGGGTTCAGTGACGGTGATGGTCCCTTCATCACAGTCAAGAATCAAGGAAGCACATCAGATATACCGTCTTGCTAGAATGAAGAAACTGCGCGATGTATTTCGGTATCACTTGGGATGGTTGATGCAATATCTGTTCTCTGCAAGCTAGACGGTGTTTGTATAATTAATACATATTTGCAAGTTGCTATTAGTTTTACCAGTAGATTAATTTTAGTGGTTGGTCGGTCTTTCAGAAAGCATCTGCATTCCTGTTCTCTGCGTTTCACTTCGTAACACTAGAAACTGGCCCGGTATTTTATATTGTGGCCTGGTATCGTGTATAACACATGCGATTTTATTCCTCGCGTGAAGTTTTGAGGAGTCATGCCCCCCGCCTTGGATAGTGAGAAGGTTATAATTGGGTACGCCTCGGAAGATGTACATTTATTTAAGGGATCTATCATCTTTAAGGTCTGAAGTTAGAAATATGAAAAACTCTGCAGGATTTAAATGCCGTGAAAGACTGTTGGGCATTTTTTAAAAACGCCCAGGATCCCTTTAATATGTGATACTGTATTATTTCCTGGAGATGTTCCAAAATAGACAGATTCATTATGTAGCATGTATGAATCGTTCGGAAATTTAGTGTTGAAATCCAAGAAAAATATTTCATCGTTTTGCTAATCCCTTCTACTTAACAGTGTCCTATGATTTAGCATACAGTACATTTATATCGACCCGGTGTAACGAAACTGAGGGCCCGTGTAACATAAGTCCGCCCACCGTTTAGTTGTAATGGTTAGGGTTAGCCTGACCTAAGTGGGACAAAATCTAGGGCGAGGCTTACCTGTGCAAATTTAATGGGAAACGGACTCTATCACGGGGGCTCTCTGTCACGTTACACCAAGCATATCTGGAAGGACAGGCCTGTAGAAAGCAATTAAAAAAGTATACCTATTTTTGTGAAAAGTGGACTTGGTATAACGAAACCTACGTGTTTATTTTAAGTAACAGAAAGACTACACTTTTTTTATTCAGAGTGGATCTATTCCCGGCCAGAGGAGCGGTTCTTTCAAACCCCTAGCCCCCTACTCTCTGATATCAGGGCCATCTAAAATAGTACACAAAAAAGTTTTAATCGAGGTCGTATCTATATAAGTCTTGTCGCGTGGTTTGGACTATTTAAAGGCCGACATATTTCGTATTCTTGTCACACTGTTGACCCGTCAGTCCTCTTGACTGTGACAACATTAAGGCACACGTTAGCTGTGGCGGCGTACACTTTAATTCAAAATACATAGACAGACCTGTCAACACTCCCGATTTTTGAGACATTTCTCCTAACTTCCTCATCCAGACTAAAATATATCTCGATCTATATGTATTATTACAGGCCCATAGCAAGCAATTTCAAAGCGGGTTCTTTATCCGAAATAGTGGAACTTTTGCCATGAAACCTTCGTGTACCTAGATCAAATTTTACCCAAAGCGGACATTTTCCGGGTCAAAGGGGGCGGTTCGTTCTAACCCCTCCCCAGCCTCACTGGCTACTCCCTGTATGAGGTCAGGTCAATGCAACCCTAAATACATTCTCGGGATATGATCCACTATTAAAACCGCAGCAATCCGGGCATTTTCCATCTAGTGTGTACATTAAGAGACATACGGTACATACATGTATAAATCAACAGTTTCAGTTTAATGTGCTGGGTTGTGTTTGTATATGTTTAATAAAAAAAAAAAAACAGTTTCTCTGTGCTACCTGAGATTCATCTGGAAAAGATTTGCACGTAAAAAAATCCTCTTATAATATAGCGGTATTCATCCGGCTTACATATGAAGAAATCGAGCAAAAGTGAAACAAAATTGTTCATCAGTTTACTGTTCTTTACTCCAACAACGTCAATATAAATGAAAATGTTTTCCGAGAATTTCATGAAATGACACAGCATTGTCTAAATGTAATCGCTCGCGGGTGCTCAACTTTCTCCACGATGACAATTAATGTAAGTAATTCAAAAAGGGTGTTGAGGAAAGAAATCACGCACCTTTCTAAATTTAGTTAATTCATCATAAGAAAAGTGCATTAAAGAATGCCGCAGTCTTACGTAAATGGCGAAACAATATTGCCCCTCCGCCGCCCTTCATATATAAGTGTTCTAGTTTAAAATTTTTCTCACGTCGGCTATATTTCATTACTATTGGCAATTTAAATGGAAGGAGAGAAACATTCCAACTAAATCTAGTCATCAATACTGCAGAGCATCATACTTCTGCTCTTTTGATGTGTTTTTAAAATTATGACAGTGCAACTTTCGGTGGTTCAGCAGGGCAATCACGGAAAAAAGTTTAATTCTAAATTAAACATTCAAATTCGGGAGACAACTGCGTGATGCACTTAAGGCGGAAAGTGTACAAGGAAGTTGTGCGAAATTTATAGCAAGGCGGTAACTGTTTGCACGTGGACAGAAACAAGGGATTACTTGTCTGTGCGTGTCTTTTCTCTATGTGTTAAGCACGTTTCAGCATATACCAGTACATGTAATGTGTTAAGTTGAATAGGGCAACAGTGAATGTGTATACTCGTCAAGCGTATAGGAAAAGGTTTCTTCATAGGCCTCAAAAGAAAGAAATGGATCTTGTACTCAAGGCCACCTTCCAGCGCAATGGTTACTGTTCTTCTTACATTGCACTGTCTGAGATAAGAGGTTGAACGGGACTCTCATGCGCCACCAAATGTTTTTACAAAGGGCATGAACTTGTGAGCAGTACACTCCCCGACGTCGAGAAGCTGAAATATATGAACTTTAATTTGCCAGATCTATTTACATTATAACAGTTGGTACACGGTAATTGCGATGGTGGTCACAATGAATGCCTCCTGTGCAGCCCCAGGGGAAGAGGAGGGGGACATCTTCGCGTTCATCGTCGACGGTGTTCTTGTTGGCATCCTCAGCTTCTGTGGACTGCTTCTCAACATTTTCTCCTTTGCCGTGCTTTGGAAGAAGCGAAGGACATCGACCACTTTCTTTTTCGTCTTGTTCCTGGCTGTTGCTGACAGTCTGTACCTCGTCCACAGCGCTCTCTTTCAGACGTTTCGCTCAGCTAATGAACACACGGGGGCGTTGAAGAGCTACCAAGACTTCTGGCCTTACATGGAACCGTTTGAGTACCCCCTCGGAATAATGGCGCAGACGGCTTCTACGTGGATTATAACTCTCATGGCGATAGACCGATTTATATTCACTCATTTCCCTTTCAGAGCGCATCGATGGTGCACCACAAAGAAAGCGGGTATAGAACTGGCAGTTTTGATTCTCTTTGATATTGGTTTCAACAGTGCTTGGTTCTTTAGGCAGAAAACTATAGAAGTATGGGATTATTGCAGTAACGGCACAAAGCCCGTTATTGTTGCTTATGGTATCGGAGAATCTCGTCCCAGTCGTCTTGCACACACGGTACTCTACGAGACTCTCGTGTTTGGTCTACCGTTAGGTTGTTTATGTATTTTCAATGTTTTGTTCATAAAATTTCTTAGGAATCAGTCGAAAATTCGGGAAAGATTAACGAACTCGAATATCATAAAAACAACAAAAGATTCTGGAACTAAAGGCAAATCGAACGATCCGAAAATCAAGCACAGGTCCCATGGGTCAGCGACACAGCACAGGATCACACTCATGTTAGTTGTCATGGTGATAGTATTTCTGGTTTGTCAGACGCCCATGTTCGTGAACCACGTGTTGTACGCAATGGAGGGTCGTGTGGAACTGGGTCCCAATCATCGGTATTACAATGTTATCACCAACTTTTTGTTAACATTTAACTCTGCCACTAATTTCTTTATTTATTTATTTTTTGTGAATGGTTTCCTAAAAAGATGGAAAGGATTGTTATGTTTTTGGCGTCAGAAAGCAGGCACTTGCAATCTATGTGTGCGTGCTTCCGCGTCTGTTGAGGCGTCGGTGCATGGTTCGAGGAAAACTACTTTCTTTGTCGCATTCGAGGACAAAACGCCGGTTAGAAAGACCCCCGTTCATCGTTCAGCATTTGTACTAGATGGCAGCTGACTAATATGACATCGTGTGGTTAGAGTGTTTGCCTCCGGAGCGGGAGGACGCGGGTTCAACCCAATCCGGAGGCATACCAGACAGTCCTTTATGAACGGCGCCTACTGTCTCCCCGCTTGGCACTCAGCATTTAGGGGTTGAAGCAGGGTCCTGGTCAGGCATTCAACGATAATATAAGTTAGCTAGCTTTCAGTGCCTTATTCTTCAGCGGCGCTGTATCCTTTCCAGAGAAGCGAGATCGTCAACACAGATCGTGATGACCAGGCGTCAAACTGTATTGTATATGTACCGCACTCTATTGTACTTGTTGTAAAGTCTACTGAAAAAATTAGAATTCAGACTTTAAATAAATATATTAATTAAATATATATTATTGTTATTATTATTATTACTATTTTGTCTTCTCTCCTGCGAAATTTCGGCCACTTATCTTAGTGCACTGTGTAGGACACTGGTGGTTCCTGCAGCGGCGGGATTAGGTCATGTTGAGTGAAGAAGAAGCGTGGACTATATGACGCAAATGTATTCAGAAAAATAGCTTATTCAAGGAAAGATGATGAAAGACCTTTTCATTGATTGCACGCTATAGATTACGTTACCTGGAGGCAAATTTATTCTTATACTAAAGTGTGTCAATCACGTTGTGGAAAGGAAGTGATGATGTTTTCGAAATATGACGCAAATTCACAAAAAAAAAGAAAAGAAAGAAACGCACAATTGAAGAAAAGATTAGGAAAGGCATTTCCATTGATTGCACGCTATGCACAGTATTTCTTTACCCGGTGGCAAATATATTCTTTTACTCCAGTGTGTCAGTGCTTTCATTAATTGCGTGTAGATGTGTATGCGACGGCACGTTTACTTTTGTTTTGCAGGCCCTTTAGCAATAGTGGCAGTATGTTTATTTTGTCAGATAGAAGAGGTAATCATAATTTTCTCTCCATTTTTTGAGGATGTTCATGTATATAATGACCACCCATCAATGCTATGGTCATATACTTTTCCTACAAATTCTTTTCCATTATCCTTGCCAAATTCATCTTAGTTATACAATATGTTATAATGTATATGTAATATTGCCTTGTAAAGTAAGGCTAATGGATACAGTTTGAAGGGTAATTTTAAAATGCTTTAAGTGTATTCTCAATAGATTTTTTTACTTGAATGAAGTCATATGCCCTGGTCTCCGTGTCTTCCATTTCTCAATGCTAAATTAATTTAGAGGATCGTGTTCTACGTGACAGCAATGCGTGTATGGCAGCGCTTTTCGTGAATAAAACATACACATGTTGTGCAACATTATGTTTGTCATCAGTCTTTCGTGAATTTCCTTTTGTTTTTATCTTTTTCTTTTCTTTCTTTTTTTTATTTCTTTTTTTTTTTTTTAAATAATTTATTTTTAAAGTAAATCTGTTTTTTCTCATTTCCGCTTTTCAGCCATTTGACTCGGATCAAAGTGTCATTTAAGTATTTAGGATTCTTTCTGGGATTTGTAAAGAGCTTAAATTGGGTATTTCCGTCTATTAAGGTCGGGGAAATCATGCCATCCAAATATATATCATCATTCGCCCACTTTATTAGTTTAAACACATTTAGTCAACTACGTGTATAACATAGATAGTCCAGCTGCATGCGATTGTTCGTGTTCATTAGGTATTGTGTTGTTTCTGCACACTGCGTAATGTTCTTTGTTAAAGATTATTAGCTCCAGTTTCTTACGCAACATGCAAGAGAGATAGAAAGATGAATAAATAGATAGATATTCACATGCCGAAAAAACTCAACGAGCAGCTGAAAAAAGGGCTTTTAACTGCACATTCTACAAAGTTCCGGACGTAAACTTGACCTCCAGTGCTTAAGGCACAAAAGTTAAGCAGAAATTATGTGTGCAAATATAGCTTTTCGGGAAATAAGGTTATTAGTTTCTACAGTAATTCTTAAATAAATATTTGGAACACTATGGAGGGAACTCTATAATCTGACAGGTATATTATATCTATATCTATATATTATTATTTTTTTTATGCAATTTAATTTTTTTAATCTCCCTCGGCATTTAGGTCTGCAAAGAAATGAGGTCATGAGACAAAGGATACGCCCCCCTTTCCCCTTTCCTCACCCCCTTCCACGCCCCCCCCTTTCCCCTGGAGGTCCACTTTTGTGGCACTTTTCCATGAAAACTCGTTCTTTGCTTCTCTCTATTGGGTATAATTAATATAGATATATATATTTTTTATTTTATTTTCAGTCCATCTGCAGGGCAAGACGATCCAGTGTGAAGGACTACTTTTTGGCAGGAAGAAGTGTCACGTGGTGGCCGGTAAGGACTTTTTGCTAGCATGCTTGCAACCATGGCAACGAGAGTTATGGCGCTGTCACACTTGTATAGCGAAAAGCACAAACGTATGCGTATCTATTCTTATACAGGGGTATACACGGTACTCGTACGCTATACACCCAAACCCAATATAGAGGTGCAAACGATGTCACAGACATGTTCCTAAAAATATGTAGTGCACAGATTACAAACTATGTTTGATTATTTTAGGGTCCCACATAAAGAAGTTTGTATAAAAGTTTCACTTTCCTGGAACCACAAATGATAAAAAATAATTCATCATCTAACCCCAAAAAGGAACATACGTTACTGTCACAAATGCATAACGTCTAGCTGTTGAAGCGTTTTAATCACTTTGAAAATTCAATCATCACGGGTTTTGTTCTTTAATTTATCTCCTACAAGTATAACGTTGTAAAAAATTACAAAAAGCTTCAGTATAGAGCATTTAATTGTTTTTTAGCGACTTAAGTTTGCCTGTCACTGAATATTAAAAAAACGGGGAAAATACACCCTACCGACAGTAAAATAAGCATTTAATAAATTATTTTTCCCCTCGTGCTCCAAATATTATATCTGAAATGTCAAACTATCATGGAATCACGATATATTTCTCTGTCAGCAAAAGAAAACATTGTTTTCTCTTGCACCAAGCACTTGTACAAAATGAAACATTTTGTCAATTTTCCTAGGGAACATACGTTACCTAGTATTAGCTATGACGCAGGCCCCATTAGTTACGGTTTAAATATTGATAAAAAACGTCCTTACGTCATATTTAATTTAACATGATCAAATAACTTCAAAATATATAAGAACACGTTANGAAAACTCGTTCTTTGCTTCTCTCTATTGGGTATAATTGATATATATATATATATATATATATATATATATATATATATATATATATATATATATATATTTTATTTTCAGTCCATCTGCAGGGCAAGACGATCCAGTGTGAAGGACTACTTTTTGGCAGGAAGAAGTGTCACGTGGTGGCCGGTAAGGACTTTTTGCTAGCATGCTTGCAACCATGGCAACGAGAGTTATGGCGCTGTCACACTTGTATAGCGAAAAGCACAAACGTATGCGTATCTATTCTTATACAGGGGTATACACGGTACTCGTACGCTATAGTCTATGGGCCAAAAACCGAGAGGGGGAGGAGGGCCTATATGGGCCCATAGACTACTATTCGTACGTTGATGTACGGTCTACTTACTATAAAGTGTTGATACATGCGTGTATTCGAATGCTCTTCATTCACACGCTACTCATATGGACGTTACGCTGTGCAAATTCATTATCCATGCGCTATTTATACGATACTTATATTTCCAAGAGGGTGATTTCATACGTTAAAAGTTGTGCGTATAATCGATTTCACAAACGATACCCGTACGTCCGTCTATACGCTACGTGATGACAAATTTTCGGCTACAATCGATGGGCCAAAGGCGTGTAACACGGCTGCTTACTATCGCTGTTTTACTTCAGTGCTTAGAAAATTTGTGAAATATATTGGATAAGTGAGGTATTGGTGCTTTCCAGTGTACGGATCATATCATGCATCATCATTAGTTTAACAGGTTATTTACACGTATGAGGTCTGTTCACATATTTCACATCAGAGTTGTTAACAGCTTCAGAATGTTGTACATGTACGTTGTATCTCACGCGTGGGCATTTCGGCTTAAATTGTTCGTGCCGATTAAATGTACCGTACCGTCCCTTATGTGCCAGGCTTAATATAATGTCCCAGAATGTCCATGCCAGTCGGGTTTCGAGCTCCTTTTAATCCTTAAAACCAATATAACACTTTGGACCAACTGAACTTCCTACCGTCTTCCGAACATTATTTATATTTTTTACTGTTTCTGTTTTATAGTGGTCTGTACTGACAATCAATAAAATATTCTGCTATTAATATAAGATATATATTACATGTATGTATAACACAAGTAGATTAGAGGGCCTGTAAAATGTACTGAAACATTTTAGTGATCAATAAATTATTATTATTATTATTATTATTATATTTATCATGAATTAATATAATTTGTTTCTTTTTATTCAATTAATCTTGTAGATTGGGCTTTCATTATTTGCAAGTAATATCGGCAGTGAACATTTTGTTGGACTCGCTGGAACTGGTTCTGCTTCTGGCTTTGCCGTCATCGCGTTTGAATGGAACGTAAGTTTGACTTCCTTCTCTTCTTAAACCTGCACAGCCGCCCTATATCTTTTCTACTCTTCCCTAATCTTATCTATTCCCCTTTCCTTCATCTTTCCTAGATGTCATTCAGGAGACATATTAATATACTAATAGGAAACCGGAGGAGACTTGTGGCGGAAGTAACGTCTAGTGGTGTAAGACGTGAAGCTATTAATAGGGCCAATGAATCACCCACATATGGTTATTTTCCTCATCTTTGTAGTAATATTGCTTAATACAAATTATATCTGCTTATAACTGTATCTTTAAATGTTCCAGGCCATCATCCTACTGTTGATGCTGGCTTGGATCTTTCTACCCATGTATTTCGCCAGTGGGGTAAGTACATATTCTAGTATATGGTCACGTATGTAGCTGGCAGAGAAAAGAACAATTAAAAACTTATTCAGATGATGTCCAAACCTTACCAGCTTAATTTTAATTTAAGCTTCATGAGTACGTAATGCTGCAAAGACAATTAATTGACATAAAATAAACAGAACTATAATATAGTCTTAATTTTAACGCACTCACATGCTGCTTGCTGATAATTCTCTAAGACAAAAGACACCACATTTGACAAGCCGATACCATTACTATGTCTCTTCTAATGGCAATCATATAATTATATGAACTGGACCAATTCCTTTTTGGAAAAATGACCCTCCATTCACTTCAATAAAACCAAACCTTATTTCGTTCTCTTTTTTCTGTCAGATCTACACCATGCCGGAGTACCTGTCCCGCAGATACGGTGGCCAGAGACTGAGGATATACCTGAGTGTGCTGGCTCTCGCTACCTATATCTTCAACAATATATCCGTGAGTTTAAACGAAATGCTATGTATACTACATATTTACACACGTTAACATGTTCTGACATTTGCTTTATTATTGTTCTACTAGTATTCTCTCTTGGTATATCAGTGCATCGATTGCGTAAATGGCAGCCATAATAATTTTGCCTGCCATATTGGACGAACTCGAGTGTCGCCCTGCATAATATTCTGATGATTGCATACAACATTTTTTGTACCTGTCTGCTTCTAGCCTTTTTTTATATCTTTTTGGAACGCTCTGGAACCTGCGATTGTATATGATCGAGCAACAAACATGCAAACGCATTGTTCCATCTCCAGTCATTTGCCGTGGTTCTGTTCGCATCATTCCCCATTTCCCTATTGTCGGTTCCGATTAGTGTAATTGATATCATCTATCTGCTGTATCTCGTTATATATTTCATTGTGTTTTTTTTTTTCNACCAGTAGATGTACATCTATACTTCATCATTGCAATATAAGGCTTCTTAACGTCTTACCTTACCTTTGCTATGATTGCGTCAGTGATTAATGGTTTTCTAAAAGTATCCGTATAATATATTATTCTTCGCAGCCAATTTAGTATTGGACTAAAGCCTCATTCCCATAGACACTATTGGCCTACGTGGAGCGGCCCAACTCTGTGGGAACTCTCGCTGATTGCAGTCAGCTTCACTGAATGACACGCCTCCTCCTGGCGTTAACTGTTATATAGAAAAGCCGATGATTACACGAGTACGTAGCAAACTAGAGGAGGCCTGTCATTCAGTTAAGCTGATTGCACTTAGCGAAAGTTGGGTCGGTCTACGGTGGTGTGTATGACAAATGGGCCTGAGTCGTATCCCAGAGGGCTCCAATAAACATGTTGTAATGGTGCGCCTGACACTCTCACCATGTGTTCACCGGGCAAGCAGTCTATTTTCTTACGCCTCTCTGTGTATACGTAGGGCAGTTCGTATGATAAAGCCTTTTCTGCAAACAAGTTATTTATAATTAAATGGTCAACACATTTTGCAACATAACCAATCTATCCACGTTATTTGTAACGTGAATAAAAAACAGGAAATGCAATTTTAGACTATATTACCATTATTATTATTATTATTATTATTATTATTATTATTATCAACTGAAATGTGGCAAATGACCGAGCTGTGAAATTATTCCAGCATTTATTCGAGTTGGCGGATGGGAGGCTTTATATACAAAATACATGGCGGCCGTTCCATCATCCGTCCTCAACCAAACTTTCAACATAACCGCTAGGTGCGGTTTTCCAAGAGAAGACGCATTCCATATCTTCAGGGACCCGGCTGGAATGGACTACCCGTGGATTGGGCTCATGTTGAGGACTTCTCTGGTCGGCATGTGGTATTGGTGCGCCAACCAGGTAATGCCACGTAGCTTGGAGAACATGGAACATATTGAAATGTTACACTCCGGCGTGGCAATGCCTAATTTTGGGGTCTTTTGGTGTTAAAACACAGATTTAGATGGGTGTGGCATATGTATTTCGGACTTGTATCGTTTTGTTGTTAGGCCTTACAGTGGTGGTATATCTGCTACATTGTATACTGGCACGTCCCCTTGAAGACACATTCCAGTTCTGTTATCAATCCATATAAAATAAAACATAATTCATTGTTTGTGCATTTTCAGCAGAAATTTTTTCTGCATTTATCTGTAATGAATGTTACACTGTCAAAGCAAACGTGTCCATAGTAAATAAATCATAATTCATTGTATGTGCAATTTTAGCAGAACTTTTTTCTGCATTTATCTGTAATGAATGTTGCTCTGTCGAAAAAACATATAATGTATGCCCCCTTTTCCCATTTCTACTGTCACATAGAGTTGTATCTCTCTCCAGGTCATAGTACAGCGTAGTCTAGCCGCCAAGTCCATCACCCACGCCAAGGGGGCCTCCATATTGGCCGGCTACCTCAAGATCATCCCGCTATTCATCATGGTGATGCCGGGGATGATAGCCAGAGTGCTGTTTCCTGGTAATAATAATAATAATAATAATAATAATAATAATAATAATAATAATAATAGTAAGATTTATTTATTTATTTATTTATTTATTTATTTTAGTTTAAAAGTTTTTTCAGAAGACTTTACACATGTGTACTAGTATACTCAGCATATGTGATTATAGATGGTTGCACAAACGGTATATATAAAGTCTCTGAAAAGTGCTCAGTCTATTAAAAAGAATACTATCAGCCCACAGGCATGGCAAAATCATTTTTACAATTTATTAAATGAAAATGTAAATGACATAGAAAAGAGTTTCACAACACATATCGAACAGTATACTGAATGGTTTGAGCACATACAGCCTTTAAACAGTTGCAATACTCTAAATAAGTCATTCACTATGGATTAACTATCAAATGTTCCGCCAGCAAAACGATTCTATGTGTAGTTTCTGGCTGGCTGGATCTGTTTTGAAATACGACCCTAGTTTTTGATTACCAGAATCGTTTTTAGTCCAAATTGAATTCCTGGGTCGTCCATGTTGATTTGTGACTTGAATATAATATATTTCTCAATAAAATTGAACTAATGCTATGATTTGTTAATAGCTTTACACTGTTTTTCATTTCTTAGAATATACATATATCGATTTGTTGATAAATTAGAAGAAAAACGTGTGATAAAAAGGCTGTCGGTAGTCACATGTTATCAATTTCTACGTTGTGTTACAGATGAGGTTGGCTGCGCCACACCAGAAGCCTGTGAGGCGGTGTGTGGTAACACAGCTGGCTGTAGTAATATAGCCTACCCCTTGCTCGTACTGGAGGTGTTACCGTTAGGTGAGTGTGTTGGTACCGATTACTTATTGATGACTATATGATAAAATATTTCTTCATGTTTCTGAGCTTTGACATTTGAACTCCTGGGCCCGGTTTCATCAAGGCTGGATAGGCTATCCTGTGGATAACACTATCCATGGTATAAATCCCTTATTCTCTGGATAGTTATCCTCTGTATAAATTTGTGTTTCATAAAGGCTGGATAAAGAGCATGATAGTAATACAATGAATAAAAATTTATCCAATACCATATTTGGAAAAAGACATTCCCATAATGCAGTTGGTTGCTATAAACATTATAAAAGCCATGCTAACAAAAAGTGATCTATACCATATTTGGAAAATAAATAACCCATAATAAACAATATTCTAAGTATATTTCAAGATGGTACATTCATTAAAATAATGGGGAAAACATCTACAGGATATTTTAGTGTCAGTGTCAAAAACAAATCACATTGCATTAGTTGTGCCTCATGCAATGTTTACACAGATTTGCAGTTGAAGGGCAAGGTCGTGACATATACTTTCTAACAAAATGGCTGACTTGGAACATTTGGCAGATTCAATTTCTGTCAATAGCAGTGTAGACATTTTTCGTAAATTTTAAAGGTATGTTTTAGTAAAATAAAGATAATTGGTCTCTCACTGAGATTGCATGGGTTTTGTTCGTAGCAGGCGCGTTGTCAACTTTGATAAAGTCTGTTATGTAATCTATTGATTCAGCATCACTTAAATCATCAAAAGCAAACATACATCTTCTAAAATTCTCTTTCTAATCTAATTCTAATTCTACGCCTGTGTATTCTCATAGGATTTACTCCTAAAGCAAGCAGGTTCGCCATTTTTAATGATTTAACAGCATGATAGCAGATTTATCCCACCTATTTCGAGCGGACAACTTTATCCTGTGGATAAGCTGATTTATCCCCTGGATAACGCTATCCACTGTTGATGAAACGCACTATCCTCTGGACAGCTCTATCCAGAGGATAGCGGCCATTTTTATCCATAGGATAGCGCTATCCAGCCTTGCATATAAACGCATAATGTCCGCATGTGCTTACGTACGCACTTGTGTGAAGGTTTTCGACAACGACAGGGACAGGGCAAAGGGTTCAATTGATAAAGTCGCGTAAATGAAAAAAAGCTGATAATTTTCGATTGAATCACAGCTGTATATTGTGCACCCCCCTAGGTCTGCGCGGTCTGCTATTGGCTGTTATGATGTCGGCCGTGGTCAGTACTCTGACGTCAACATTCAACAGCGCCAGCACAGTCTTCACCCTAGACCTTTGGAGGAGGTTTAGGAAAAGAGCATCGGACGTAGAGACGTTAATAGTCAGCAGGTAAAAATATTACTTATCTTATTCTATTTATTTTATTTTTATTAATATTTATTCATAGTCAACGCCATAAAATAATTTATGCAGAGATTTAAACTAATTTATACAGAGATTTTGACATTTTTTACCGATTTCCCCTTGCTGGTCTTTCTGTGATTTCTTAAATACAAAAATGAATGGAAGTGCAATTTCCCCGTATTTCCGCCATCATTCATCATCAACCACGTGGCATGCATGCGCTTAAACTTTATGACGTTGACTATTTATTATAATGCACCTACAGGGTTACCACTTAATATGGAATATTATTTTTTGGCGAATAAATTTTCTACAAAATATTTAATTTCTCTCTAACTACTTGANGCCAGTAGATGTACATCTATACTTCATCATTGCAATATAAGGCTCCTTAACTTCTTACCTTACCTTTGCTATGATTGCGTCAGTGATTAATGGTTTTCTAAAAGTATCCGTATAATATATTATTCTTCGCAGCCAATTTAGTATTGGACTAAAGCCTCATTCCCATAGACACTATTGGCCTACGTGGAGCGGCCCAACTCTGTGGGAACTCTCGCTGATTGCAGTCAGCTTCACTGAATGACACGCCTCCTCCTGGCGTTAACTGTTATATAGAAAAGCCGATAATTACACGAGTACGTAGTAAACTAGAGGAGGCCTGTCATTCACTTAAACTTATTGCACTTAGCGAAAGTTGGGTCGGTCTGTGGTGGTGTCTATGGCTGTATTCCAAGAGCTTTTAGATCGATCTATCCCCGCGGGGAGTCTCACTAGATTACTGTCAGATAATCCGGCTTAAATGTCCGTCCCGCCTACTACAAGCTGTAAGAGAGTAATTAACTTTCGTGTCCGCTCGGCTGACAGCTATTTAGCTTGAACCCCCAGGGAGTTAGGTCGATCTAAAGTAGATCGATCTAATCTCTGGAAATGGGGTCTATGACATATGGGCCTGAGTCGTATCCCAGAGGGCTCCAATAAACATGTTGTAATGGTGCGCCTGACACTCTCACCATGTGTTCACCGGGCAAGCAGTCTATTTTCTTACGCCTCTCTGTGTATACGCAGGGCAGTTCGTATGATAAAGCCTTCTCTGCAAACAAGTTATTTATAATTAAATGGTCAACACATTTTGCAACATAACCAATCTATCCACGTTATTTGTAACGTGAATAAAAAACAGGAAATGCAATTTTAGACTATATTACCATTATTATTATTATTATTATTATTATTATTATTATTATTATTATTATCAACTGAAATGTGGCAAATGACCCTGCTGTGAAATTATTCCAGCATTTATTCGAGTTGGCGGATGGGAGGCTTTATATACAAAATACATGGCGGCCGTTCCATCATCCGTCCTCAACCAAACTTTCAACATAACCGCTAGGTGCGGTTTTCCAAGAGAAGACGCATTCCATATCTTCAGGGACCCGGCTGGAATGGACTACCCGTGGATTGGGCTCATGTTGAGGACTTCTCTAGTTGGCATGTGGTATTGGTGCGCCAACCAGGTAATGCCACCTAGCTGGGAGAACATGGAACATATTGAAATGTTACACTCCGGCGTGGCAATGCCTTATTTTGGGGTCTTTTGGTGTTAAAACACAGATTTACATGGGTGTGGCATATGTATTTCGGACTTGTATCGTTTTGTTGTTAGGCCTTACAGTGGTGGTATATCTGCTACATTGTATACTGGCACGTCCCCTTGAAGACACATTCCAGTTCTGTTATCAATCCATATATAATAAAACATAATTCATTGTTTGTGCAATTTCAGCAGAAATTTTTTTCTGCATTTATCTGTAATGAATGTTGCACTGTCAAAGCAAACGTGTCCATAGTAAATAAATCATAATTCATTGTATGTGCAATTTTAGCAGAACTTTTTTCTGCATTTATCTGTAATGAATGTTGCTCTGTCGAAAAAACATATAATGTATCCCCCCTTTTCCCATTTCCACTGTCATATAGAGTTGTATCTCTCTCCAGGTCATAGTACAGCGTAGTCTAGCCGCCAAGTCCATCACCCACGCCAAGGGGGCCTCTATACTGGCCGGCTACCTCAAGATTATTCCGCTCTTCATCATGGTAATGCCGGGGATGATAGCCCGAGTGCTGTTTCCAGGTGATTATTATTATTATTATTTACTTATTTATTTATTTGTTTATTTATTTTGAGTTTAAAATCGAAGTTTGTTCAGAAGACTTTACACAAGTATACTAGTATACTCAGTATACCGGTTTGTGAGTATAGACGTTGCACAAACGGTTCTTCAAGTCACTTCATAAGACCGCCGATTCTGGCAACGATGAATTATAGCCGTTTTTCAAAAAGGAAAAATGTCTTCCGCCAGCAAATCGATTCTATGTGCAGTTTTTGGCTGGCTGGATCTGTTTTGAAATACGACCCTAGTTTCTGATTACCAGAATCGTTTTTAGTCCAAATTGAATTCCTGGGGCGTCCATGTTGATTTGTGACTTGAATATAATATATTTCTCAATAAAATTGAACTAATGCTATGATTTGTTAATAGTTGTACACTGTTTTTCATTTCTAAGAATATACATATATCGATTTGTTGATAAATTAGAAGAGAAACGTGTGATAAAGGGCTGTCGGTAGTCACTTGTTATCAATTTCTACGTTGTGTTACAGATGAGGTTGGCTGCGCCACACCAGAAGCCTGCGAGGCGGTGTGTGGTAACACAGCTGGCTGTAGTAATATAGCCTATCCCTTGCTCGTACTGGAAGTGCTACCGTTAGGTGAGTGTATTGTTACCGATTGCTTATTGATGACTATATGATAAAATATTTCTTCATGTTTCTGAGCTTTGACATTTGAACTCCTGGCATATAAACGCTTAATGTCCGCATGTGCTTGCGTACGCACTTGTGTGAAGGTTTTCAACAATGACCGGGACAGGGCAAAGGGTTCAATTGATAAAGTCGCGTTACTGAAAAAAAGCTGATAATTTTCGATTGAATCATAGATGTATACTGTATGCCTCCCTAGGTCTGCGCGGCCTGCTGTTGGCTGTTATGATGTCGGCCGTGGTCAGTACTCTGACGTCAACATTCAACAGCGCCAGCACAGTCTTCACTCTAGACCTTTGGAGAAGGTTTAGGAAAAGAGCATCTGACGTAGAGACGTTAATAGTCAGCAGGTAAAATATTATTTATCTTATTCTATTTATTTTATTTTTATTTATATTTATTCATAGTCAACGACATAAAATAATATTTATTAGTTGATTTTAATTAACTAATTTATGTAGAAATTTTGACATTTTTTACCGAATTCCCCTTGCTGGTCTTTCTGTGATTTCTTAAATACAGAAATGAGTGGAAATGCAATTTCCCCGTATTTCCGCCATCATTCATCATCAGCCACGTGACATGCATGCGCTTAAACTTTATGACGATGACTATTTATTATAATGCACCTAGATATACACACTGTAGCATGGTCGACTTCAGATTGAAGGATACAGGATTGTAGTCTAAGCTTATCATATAATACAATATGTTGAGAACTTTTCTGCAGGTTTGATGATGCATTGATGTTTCCAGGATATTCGTGGTAATCCTCTGCGTCCTGGGAGTGTTGTGGATGCCGATCATGCAGAACGCTCAGGGAGGGCAATTATTCCAGTACGCCACCGCCATTACGGGGTACCTTCAGGCGCCTACCTGTGCCGTCTTTATCATGTCCGCCTTCTGGACCAGGGCAACAGAGCCGGTGAGTACAAGAACGGGTTTGCGCGCGGTGTAGTGAATTGACATTCAAATTCACTGACACAACAACCATGCATCGTACACAAGATTTATCGCTATCAAGAGTCATTGACCAGATAGTTCAGGCACCTTGTTATCTGTTTGAGGGTGTGACTCCCGATGTGCTATAGACTTATCCTCGGTCTTTCTCCCCCGAAGCTCTGAGATGGGTTCTCCACCCTCTCCCAGTTTGCCCCCCCCCCCCCCCAAAAAAAAAAAACTCTTCTATGACAGTTTCCCTTGTTCTTTTTGGTGCTTTTTTGTGCATTATTTATTTTTTCCTGGTAGATAGTAGGGCTTACCAATGACACCGCTTCCTTGTTTCAACACCAGGAGGCCATTTTATTTTATGTTCGTTGTTTGCAAGTAGGTGCCGAGTAAATGAATAACGTATAATAAATTATAATGACTGTATACAACTCTAATGCTGTGTTATATTTTATCACCAGGGAGCATTCTACGGTATGCTGGGCGGACAGCTAGTGGGCATCGTGCGCTTTGTTCTGGACTTTGCTTATGACGAACCTAGCTGTGGAGAGCCAGACACAAGACCCCCCATTGTGTCACAGATACACTACCTGTATTTTGCGGAAATTCAGATAGCCGTGGCGCTCTGCATCGCCATACCTATTAGCTATATGACCAAACCACTTCCTAAAGAAAGGGTGTGTGAATGTTCATGCGCGCGTGTTTGTGTGTTTCTGCGTGTGTGCGGGTGCACATGTGTAGGCCCTACATGTCATTTAGGAAACCAGAGAATTTTAGTGCATATTGACTTACGGATAGGGAAAATTGTAAATAAAGTAACTTATGAGTATCACAGTTTTCAATCGGATGTTTTTAACTCACTTCAAGTTGAAAGAGATTGTACATGTTACTCTATCTTGGAGACAAGCGATTTTAAGTGTTTGGCCGTCTTAGACAGCTTTCATAATGCACGAATCAATAATCATATCATGTCTTATTTGATAAAAGATAAATGAAAAGATTAATTCATTAATATGTTCACTGCAGCTGGCCGGCTTAACTTTCTGGACGGTGAAGGATAAACTACAAGAACATATCGCCCGAGCCAACGTGACGTCAACCAATCTGGAATACATTGGAAGCGAGGCTAATGTCAAGGACGTTAGTGAGGACAAGGTCACCTTTGAGGTCGAAAACAGCGGAAGCGACGAACAGGAAAATGGACTTGATTTGGATATTAAAAAAAGAGAGGAAGCGCCAGGTGACATTTTTTACAATCTTTGCAGAAATACGTTTAGCTAATCACATATTGAGCGATAGAGAAATGCATTTCTCGACTTTTTATTCAATCATTTGATCGTCGAATCAGTCAACCCATCAGTCAGTCGTTCAGTAAATGGATATATCAATGAGTCAATCGCACGCAACAAGTTAAGTTGTTGTTTTGTCAAACGTCTTGAATTCGACCACGAGTGTGACGGGTTGTGACAGAAACACTCTTTCAGGAACAGCTGTCCCTATTGTGTTAATTGTGTTTGAGGTGATCCCAAATTGACGGCGGTTTTATATTTTTGCAACTTTCAGAGCCCTCCTGGCGGCTGTGGCTCCGCAGTCTATGTGGCCTACCACCCAAGGGGTCAGCACAGGCCCACCACCATTCCCTAAAACTGGTCCCGATGTCACTGGACGAGACGCCATTCTGGCGGAGGATTACCAATATGAACGCTGTTGTCATTTTGGTTGTATTGGGCTTTTTGTACGGCTTCTTTGCCTGACGAACATTTGGTTGTAATAAAACTTTTGAGGCATCTTCTCAAACAAAGTGATTTCAGAGGACTAGACGTTTGATTTTTAACTTAAAACAGAATATCTAAATTGCTGTACTAGTAGTAAGTTCTGTTTATGCCGATAAACATGTGTGATGTTTGCAGAGATAAAACTTTCTATCGTTTTAAGGTAATAAGTCATTTTGTTTGGAACTCCGACTTCAATACCCGGCGCCCATAACACATTGGCTGCAGAGATCCTTATTAACTTAAAGGAAAAAATAATGATCTCAGTGGCATCACCGGGCGCTTAAATTAATAATAACTTAAGAGTTCAAGATCTTAAGGACCTTTCAAGCACCCGCTAATTACGATGTAATCTGTGCATAATTCAACAATGCTGGCTATCGAGTATCTTTTCACTATAAAGTTCACGTATGAAGACAGTGAACAGAGTATTTACATAAAGTCCTTGCTGTCTTTTCAACAGATGGTTTTGTTTTGTTCTTCCTAAGTCAATACAGTGATTGTTTGTCATACTCAAATACCCCGGTATGTACACGTCATACGCTTGGGCCGGGTCCTTCATTAAATAATGACTTTTCTTTGTGTTTTCTTTGTGTTTGCCGCCAATTGTTGGATAGTTAAAAGAGCACATGTTAGTTTTTCCAGCAGAATTATTGATTTGTATACCTCCTGGGGGGAGTTAACATACCATTTCGCTACCCCGAAAATTGTCTTTCCACGTGTCCTCAAAACACACGCTATCTGATAAAGGCTCTGAAAGGTCAAGGTCTGAATTTCTGTTTTCCCATATCCATCAGACTTCTGGAGCAGAACCCAACAGCGGAACTTGGTGTTTAAGGACATTTGAACTGCTGCAAAATCAAGAACAAATCGAAAATAGACTTTTTTCCAAGTAATTCTATCCACTGAAGCTGGAAGACGACAGTTGCTTTATTTCTGCTTCATTTTTAAACAGCAAGGAAACGAAATGAGAGGCATTAATTTGAAGAAAACCCTCATATACATTGTCGCCTTTATGATGTTTTCTTTGGCCTTAACAGACGCACAGATCAGTTCGGCGACCTTCAATATGCCGGACACCGTTGACGGCGCAGTAAACATAAACGTCACACTCAATGGATCTGTTTTGGATAGGTTCAACGTCCGCTCCAAACTCGAATGTTTTTCATATTGCTTATTAAATGCACAATGTGTGTCGGTAAACGTCGGACTGGTGGAAGAGTCCTGGATTTGCGAGATGAACAGTGCGGAGGCAGTGAGTGCTAACCTTATGTATAAAGAAGGTTACAATATATTTCTGAAGGTAAAAGATCGTCTGATTCATTTCCAGTTTTATTTTTGTGATGTAATACATAGCATAATAAACAGTAATGTTGTTCAGGGTAAAGTATACAAATTTTATTTACCTTTTGCCTACACACACAAACGCGCATGCACCACTTTACGTATTTAACTGGTATCTAAAAACATTTCTAGTTAAAAGAGAAATTTGCATTTTGTCCATATTACATGCACATGTATGATACAAAGGACTATTTCGTTCTAGTTTGTTTTAATTGATTACAGTTATGTAATAATAATTCTGAAATATTGATTTTATTTGACAAGAATTTACCTTCGGGTGAGTATATGCACAATTTAAGAATAGATAAAAGTTCAAAACTTTTAATGCTGCATTGAGGTTGTACGTTTTTTAAGTGCTGTATTAACTATTTTCGTCTTTCATTTTAAATTCCTTCAGTTTATGTTTCTTTTTGTCCTTTATTTGAAGTTTTATATTTTAGATCTACACTGTAAAAACAGTGTTTAGCTCCTAAACACATTTCTAAGCGCCTGTTTTGTGTCACTTTTTCCACGCGTTTAGCTCCTAACATGTTTAGCTTCTTAACATGTTACACGCTTGTGTTTAGCAGTATGACGCGTTTGACGGCTTATAAATGTAGGGTGTATTTGTTTAACTTTTAGGTGCTAAGGGTTTCAACTGTTTTAGTCGCACACACGCGCGCACACGCACATATACACACAGACGAACTCACGGTCACCTTTAACTGCTATAGTTATTTATTACTATAACAGGGTGCCGTGAACTGTCAACATCGTTGACTTCCCACTAATTTTTTTTTTACAGCTGTACTTATTCATCCTTGTGTTAGCTGACCTTGCGAGGGAGTTTATTGGAATGTATTTCTGAAAAGCAGGTTAGGGAAATTCACTAGTTCACTAAAGGCACAAAACAACTATCATTTTTACTTTAAAACACCTTTCTCCATATTTTGATAAAATGCGTTACGGTATTGATATCTATTATTTTTTCCGGAAGTAATGGATAATAGAACATCAGGATGATGGTGGGGTATTCATTATAATACTTTATATAGGCTTTCATTACATGCTGGTTATTTCGGTACCGATAGTCCGAATATTTGCACCGCTCTAGTCGCCGACTAACCCCAAGCCCATTTTGGAATTAACTGCTAACTGTAGTTCAAACAGCATAAGACGTGTTTTGGTTATTTATATAAAAATGTTTTCAGAACATTATATAATGTTTTTCCAGAATGTTATAAACACGGTGATAAAACTCCACAAAATGACGTTACATGTATCATAAAATTTTGTAGAAACGGTCTTCGAATCTTTTTACAAATTATAACGTTACTATACATCATTTTTAGTTAAAACACCCATAACGTTACCATAATGTTCTTATATACCATTGCCAGCATGTAACCATCTGATAACGTCGTGAAAACGTTATTTGTTATTTGGATTATTACTTAAAGGTACATATGAATCGAGCATCGGTGGAGCGTGGGTTGCCAGTAACACATATAAACCACTTCTATTAGATTCTTATACGACTCAAATAAAGTCGACATGCCAAGTGACAAACTGAATAAATCACTCGATCAGCCATAAAAGAGCTTTAGACTGCTCTTTAAATTTTTGGTTAGAAATTTAACCTACTTATGTGACCTACTTTTCTGCCCCATGTATATAGGATAGTAAGCTGACAGAAAAATCCATTCAAATATCATTTTTCGGGTAATATTAATCAATGCCTTCTGGCAATTTCCTTAATTATGCATCTTTAATAGGCCTATTTTAAATAAGCACGCGTTACTGCAAGGAAGGACACCAAGCGTTCGAACAGACTGCTCCGCGCCTTCAACAGCTCCACACGTTTACAAGGGGAAGTGTTAAACCAAATTGTTGAGCCTTGTAATAAACTTTATGGGACCGGTGAAACTAATGACATAGCTAATAGTGCGACACTTCTAAGAATTTTTATTTCTTCTGAAAGAGGCTTGAAAAGCTAAACTTGTTGTTCAGCTACCCTCTACCAGGGCGACAGATTGATTTTTCACAGATATGTCTCTAGATAAATAGATAGTCAATTTGGTCTGATGTCGCCTCAGCAAAAAATGTCCCCAAGAACTGCGGCCTTGATAGAGGGTATTGTTCAGCAGCTCCACGCGTTTAGGAATTCCACACCTATAGCAGCTCCATATGTTTAGCAGCCTCACGCGCTTAGCAGGGGAAGTGCTTAGCCAATGTGCTTAGCTTGTGATAGACTTATTATAGATCCATAAACCGGTGTTATTTTTTCTCTTTTGCAAAACATTTCATTCAAACATCGAAAAGCGAAGATTATTGTTACGCCTTCCGTCCCATGTTTAATGACCTCCATATTTCAAAGTGGACTTTGATTAAATTCCGATAACAATTAAAGCGAAGACGTACCAACTACCAAACTTTAGCTGGGCTTATGCACTTAGGCAGCTCCCAATACTTAACAACGGAATACTACGGCAATGAAAAAGATCAAATTAACGCATGCTTTTACTAGTATGTTACACTATTTTCAATTATATTGTATTGTCGGTTGTTTGGATGTTCATTGATTTTCGCTTTCGTAGTTTGTATTGTCATATTGTACTAGCAAATGCCTTTTTCCTAATTTTAATGTTATTTTCATTAGCCTGTAATTTGTTACTTTTCTGTCAATGATTTATCATTTTAAAAAAGATCAAAATTAATTCATATTCACCAGGAACTGCGAATTTCGTCTAATTTTAATTATATATACCACTGTGAATTCATCTTTGGTTATTCTGACATTCACTGTGTTTATCTTATGTTACATTGTACGCACCTTCACTCTGTCTAGCGTAGCGTTTCAATATTATCAGCTGTTTCACTAAGGTCTGATGTTTTTTGTTTAACAGCTGCAGCATCAACGTGTCCTGTTGACTTCAGCGAGTTCGCTGGCCATTGCTACTATTTCCAAAACTCTGACACAATGGACTGGCCAGTGGCGAAGACCGCTTGTGAGGGCATGGGAGCCTATTTGGCGGAAGTGACGTCAGCGGAGGAAAACGCGTTCATTGCAAACCTGATGGCAAATATAGGATGTAAGGATTTATGCTAATTTATAGTTGTTTATTCAAAAATTTATATTCAAAACAGAGTCCTTCATTTCTTTCTTGTAAGTAATTTGCTTAAAATTAAAATAAATTAAAATAGCCACAGTCCCCAATTGCAAACTTCTTAAGCGAAATTTGCAAATCAACTCAGAGCAGACCAAGAAACACATCTGTGTGTGTGTGTGTGCGTGCACGCGTGTGTACGTTTGTGATAATATACATGTTTCACTTTTTTTGCCTAGCCACGCATTCGTACGCCTGGATAGGGGGCGAGACAATCGCAGCAAGCACGCGCCAGTGGGCCCACAGTGGTCTGAGCATTACTCAGCCCAACTTTGTCACGTTTAGTGACTGGTCCGCCTTTGAGCCCTACGTCCTTATGTATACTAGCAACGGGAACTGGGCCGACTGTGACTCGAGGTGTGCCTCCAGCTCAACGTATGTCTGTGAAATGGATTTGTAATTTGGTCATGAACAGAGTAAGATTCAGGGAAAAGAACCGAAGATTCATTATGTTTATGTTTCCATCAATCGGAGCTATAACGTTTAATATTGTGCAATGACAAATGGCAGAGTTCTGAGTATAACTTAATGTATGCAATTAGCCTGTAGAAAAACTTATAATTAGCTGCGATCACAAACTTAAGTAAAGTATTTTCACTGCGATCTTTTTCACAATTTTAATGTCGTCAGATTTTGAGTTTTGTGTTTATATTGTAACTTTTGTGTAAAAAAACTATTGTCAATTTGTCAATAAATGTTTTCATTTTAACCAATGCTCCAGGTTGTTTGACGCTGTTTAAAGGAAAAATACCCTGAGCTTTGGATGGTCGTGGGAAAGAAGCCAGAAGCTCACAACTTCTTTCTATTCTGCTTTATTGACACAGTATTACTGGATTCACACATTCAGACTCTAAAGCTAACATACATATGTAGCACAAACTTCTTTGTCTTGTTTGAAATACGATTTTTTTAGGGCAGAACTTATTTTTGGGGTCTTTCTTTCGTTTTTTATCGATATCATACGGCATGTTAACTTTAACTGAGGCAAGAATATTTTTAAATACTTCAAAATGTACTTTTGAACAATTTTGATAACGCCATCTGGTAAAAGCATTTTTTATGGAGAATATTTCCCACCAATATTTTGGCCCCAGCACTTTCAATGATTATAAACGGAATGCTTATTGTCCTTGTCAGTCAATATTGTTTGCAATCAAACATACCTGCACGCTGCCTTGAGGTGATGTCTATGTTTTGTCTCGCTAGGAGAAGTGAACAAAGCTTCAAGGAAACCACGTATACTATACGTGACACTTCGTTGGGCAATCACGCAAGGGAGACTTGACATTATGATATGCCCTTGGCCGGATTCCAGTAGTTTATTTCCAAGAGCAAGCCCCGCCCATTCCTTTTCTTGGTATCGATTGCCATACAGGTACAGGTAACTTGTGGCAAACGTTTTCTCATTCTATTCAACCTACTTTAATTAACCTCTACTTATTTATTTTTTTTACATTTGGCAGCTTGGGACCCCCTTCTGCGTGATACCCGAAACAAGTGCTTAGTCTGCCTACACACGAACATGATATCGACCTTGATAATATCGACCACAGCCCCTTCGTCAGTGCCAGCCAGATGTACTTTACCCCCACACCCGATCCCCTACCCCCCTGACTTCTCCAGATTCCAGACCCCCAAGCATTGTTATTGCCAATATCCCATTTTAAGTCATCGCTTATCAACTAAAGTCATTAGTCAGTTAAGACGCCTTCTTTGTTCACCTGTGGACGCGCCACTGTCTTAAACACTTTGCGTTTTTTTATTTGGAAATGAACAACAACGGTAATAATAGGAATATCAATAACAATATATTTTCCCAACTGATATTCACGTATATGTAAAAATACATCACAGCGTAAGCTTTTATTAACGATGTAATTTAAGTGAAATAATAACAGTAAGAACAAAATTTAAATCGTTTGAAACGAGAAAACAAGACGGTTAATAACACAATGCGTTTAGAAGATAATCAAAATTGAAATTTAGATTTGAACCGAGAAACAACTTAGGGTAAAAACTTCTTTAAAACTTCACTGCCTTTAAAAGTTAAAAGTCTCTTATTACTTGACAAAGATGTAAACAAGCTAAAAGGGGGAAGATAAAAGTTGCTTATCGTGCTTGCCCTCCTCTTCGCCATTCTGTCAACATAGATACTGTCAACATATGGTAGTTCGTGCCCAATTATCTTACTGCACGTATTTACAATACATTTCAGTTTCCATTCACAACTGTATTGTGCTCACCTGTGAACTTAACATACGCCCCGGTTTGGAGTAAATAGGCGAACCTTGGCGTTTCGTATTAATGAGCAAATGCTTTATTGATGCCCTTGTTAAAATACAATAAACGGCAATGAATGAGTTTACATGCAATAAGTCCGGCTGCACTTTTCAATGGTGACACTTAGGGGCGTTCAGAATGCGTAAGAACGACCTAGCTAGTGCTCACTAACTCCATGGGGACTCTCGCTGAACGCAATCGGGTGAACAGAGTAACGCCTCTTCCTGGCGCTGGGTAGAATGCACAGAAGCTAGTGATTATATACTCTCTACCAGGGCGACTGATAGATTTTTACAGATATTCACAGATATGTCTCTAGCTAGATAGATGGTCATTTTGGGCTTCAGAGGGTAGTGATTATATATGTACAACAAAGAGTCACTGTGGAGTAGGTGCACCCAAGCTTGTGACATCTGACTCATTCTGAACGGCCACTTAGGGCACATTGAAAGCTTGAAAACATCGTGACCGCATTCAGAACAGTGGACTCACTACCGGTAGTCCGAGGGTCAAATATGGCGACCCACTGCAAAGCTCGCCGTCTTATCCGCTAATAAACACTGAATAGATGCCCCGTGGGGATGTATTCAAGTGGGTCAGTCATATTTGACCCTCGAATTGGTAGTACCACTGTTCTGAATGCGGCCTATGACTTCGCTCCCATCACCTTATCGTACTAGCAAGACCAATCTACCTCAGCAGGGATTCTAGCTAAGGCGCAGTCAGCGCAAATGGTCAGGCACGTCCCTCTCAAAGCAACATAAACAACATCATTGGTCACAAAGTTTTCCCGACCTAACACACTTGAATGCTTGTTGAGAAATCCCCGAGGGGAATCTATTCAGTGTGTACTTTTTAGTGGGTCGCCATTTTTGATCCGAGGGTCTGTAAGTCCGCTGTTCTGAATACACTCTTAGGTGGTTAAGTTAATTCTTTTAGAGCGCGCTATATTTGATCCTCGGACAAGTTAGTCTGCGGATCAGCTCCCAGTAGCAACATAATGGAAACAAAGGGCCAGTAGAGGGAAATCTGTCCGACTGAAATTTTGAAAATCTGATACAACTTCTTTTATTATGATTTTGCTGTCCTCAGAGGTAAACCCGTGTCACGTGACAGTGGTTCTCACAACTTTTAGATCGATCTATCACCGCGGGGAGTCTCACTAGATTACTGTCAGATAATCCCCCTTAAGTGTCCGTCCCCGCCTACTACAAGCTTTAAGGGGTAATTAACTTTCGTGTCCGCCCGGCTGACAGCTATTTAGCGTGAACCCCCAGGGAGTTAGGTCGATCCAATGTAGGTCGATCTAATCTATGAGAATGGGGTGANAGTAAGAACAAAATTTAAATCGTTTGAAACGAGAAAACAAGACGGTTAATAACACAATGCGTTTAGAAGATAATCAAAATTGAAATTTAGATTTGAACCGAGAAACAACTTAGGGTAAAAACTTCTTTAAAACTTCACTGCCTTTAAAAGTTAAAAGTCTCTTATTACTTGACAAAGATGTAAACAAGCTAAAAGGGGGAAGATAAAAGTTGCTTATCGTGCTTGCCCTCCTCTTCGCCATTCTGTCAACATAGATACTGTCAACATATGGTAGTTCGTGCCCAATTATCTTACTGCACGTATTTACAATACATTTCAGTTTCCATTCACAACTGTATTGTGCTCACCTGTGAACTTAACATACGCCCCGGTTTGGAGTAAATAGGCGAACCTTGGCGTTTCGTATTAATGAGCAAATGCTTTATTGATGCCCTTGTTAAAATACAATAAACGGCAATGAATGAGTTTACATGCAATAAGTCCGGCTGCACTTTTCAATGGTGACACTTAGGGGCGTTCAGAATGCGTAAGAACGACCTAGCTAGTGCTCACTAACTCCATGGGGACTCTCGCTGAACGCAATCGGGTGAACAGAGTAACGCCTCTTCCTGGCGCTGGGTAGAATGCACAGAAGCTAGTGATTATATACTCTCTACCAGGGCGACTGATAGATTTTTACAGATATTCACAGATATGTCTCTAGCTAGATAGATGGTCATTTTGGGCTTCAGAGGGTAGTGATTATATATGTACAACAAAGAGTCACTGTGGAGTAGGTGCACCCAAGCTTGTGACATCTGACTCATTCTGAACGGCCACTTAGGGCACATTGAAAGCTTGAAAACATCGTGACCGCATTCAGAACAGTGGACTCACTACCGGTAGTCCGAGGGTCAAATATGGCGACCCACTGCAAAGCTCGCCGTCTTATCCGCTAATAAACACTGAATAGATGCCCCGTGGGGATGTATTCAAGTGGGTCAGTCATATTTGACCCTCGAATTGGTAGTACCACTGTTCTGAATGCGGCCTATGACTTCGCTCCCATCACCTTATCGTACTAGCAAGACCAATCTACCTCAGCAGGGATTCTAGCTAAGGCGCAGTCAGCGCAAATGGTCAGGCACGTCCCTCTCAAAGCAACATAAACAACATCATTGGTCACAAAGTTTTCCCGACCTAACACACTTGAATGCTTGTTGAGAAATCCCCGAGGGGAATCTATTCAGTGTGTACTTTTTAGTGGGTCGCCATTTTTGATCCGAGGGTCTGTAAGTCCGCTGTTCTGAATACACTCTTAGGTGGTTAAGTTAATTCTTTTAGAGCGCGCTATATTTGATCCTCGGACAAGTTAGTCTGCGGATCAGCTCCCAGTAGCAACATAATGGAAACAAAGGGCCAGTAGAGGGAAATCTGTCCGACTGAAATTTTGAAAATCTGATACAACTTCTTTTATTATGATTTTGCTGTCCTCAGAGGTAAACCCGTGTCACGTGACAGTGGTTCTCACAACTTTTAGATCGATCTATCACCGCGGGGAGTCTCACTAGATTACTGTCAGATAATCCCCCTTAAGTGTCCGTCCCCGCCTACTACAAGCTTTAAGGGGTAATTAACTTTCGTGTCCGCCCGGCTGACAGCTATTTAGCGTGAACCCCCAGGGAGTTAGGTCGATCCAATGTAGGTCGATCTAATCTATGAGAATGGGGTGAGTGAGGCCGCCACGATAGTGAGTCCTGTTCCCGTTCATTTGTAAAGGTAACCTTCGACTTAGATTTTGACCCACTTAGATCAGACTAAAGGAGGTCGGACTTTCTGTTACATGGACTTTTGGTTTCTTACACGGGTTTACGAATTTCATGTTTTAATTGCAACAAGTGTGTTTAAAACAGATACTAGTTTTCCGGGTGAAGACATATCTGGTGCTTTTGAAATAGATAAATTTATCTCAAACCCCATCGTGAATTTAACTGGGGCATCAAGTAGCCCCAGTTGTTATGTGTGTCATCAGTTATGGTGATAACGTCATCAATGATGATGATATAAGAGTAAAAAAATTTGAACAACATTTCACTCGCCAGT